CTTACCCTGAAACTCCTCGTTTTTCCTCTTAGGTAACCATTGTAGAGTGTGTCTGAAAGCATACTGCTCAATCGGCTTTTATCTATTATACCTTCCATCTTCCACTCTCCAGTTTATTTAACCATTCTTTTGCCTACTGACTTTTTCTTACATCATTAAACTTGTTTCTAAACTAGTGCCTAAGTTTGTCTTTTTTCTAAAATGTTCATAAAACAGTTTTTTTCCCTTCCCAGTTTCTGGTTTACATCATAAATTTCATGGGAATATATCCTCATTTACTTTTGAGTAGTTTTAAATTCTTTCTGGTTGTGATGTTACACTGATTTGAGACACCTTGCTGTGCCCATCCTGAGGGACACTCTATGTTTTGCCAGTAAAGCCAGAGTACAAGTATATAGAGGGAGTGATCCTGTTTCTCCTTTGATGAGAAGCCAGCCTATTCCCCCAACGTTCTACACACATTATGCTTGAGGAAGAGGCCATAAACACCTAAGGAAACACTCACCAACACTTTCTCAGTGATGGATTCACCTGCTATAGGCCATGGTGTTCTTTTCTTATAAGTTGTCTGTTATAACCTCATTCATACTCCCAACATTTTTCTTCTTCTTCTTCTTCCTCTTCTTCCTCCTCTTCCTCTTCTTTTGAAAAAGATTTATTTATTTCATTTATTTGAGTACACTGTAGCTGTCTTCAGACACATCAGAAGAGGACATCAGATCCTATTATAGATGGTTGTGAGCTACCTTGTGGTGGCTGGGAATTGAACTCAGGACCTCTAGAAGAGCAGTCCATGTTCTTAACCACTGAGACATCCCTTGAGCCCCCAAAGTTATTCTTAATGTTTTCTTCAGTAAAGTTTCTTTTGCCTTTGACTTTAGTAAACTTTATTTCCTATACCTTCCTACTTTTTATTTTTTCTTGATTTCTTTTCAGTTGTTTCTTCTGTTTCTACTGATGCAAGCACAGTGTATTTCTGAGGTCCATTATGTGAGACTTAGAGAAAAGAGCATCTGGGAAGATGTAAAGAACCATAGTAGACAGTTGCTGAAATTCCATGGCAGAATTCACACACAGGGTTTGGAAGAAGTAATAAGCATTCAGAATTACTATAACCATTCACCTCTAGTTGCTTTTGCAAAGTTATGAAGTCAAAAGTCATTACTCTTTCTAAGAGTTAATTTGTGTGATTGGAGAGTGGCCTAGAATGTTGATTTTCTACACGGAAATGTTGATTCATATTAGTAATTATATCCAAAGAATCAGAATTTTCAATTTTTGGATGTTTTCCTCTATGTCAAATCAATCTCCAGAAACTTTGATTGCCAAAGTTTAAAAAAAATATTATAAAGATGTCTAGAGATTAAGTTGTTGTGGTGAGTAAACACCTGGACTTTATAGTCAGAGATGATAGCTACTGGGGCTATATAATTGTGTGGGTGACAACCCTCAAACTAGTAACTTCTACTACTTCCTTTCATGCTCCCAGTGTGTAAGTAAGAGTCCATGCTCTCTACTTAGAGTTGCAGAGCAACAGACACCTCTGCTAGACATAAGCGCGCAGTCAGCACACAGGTGATTATCTGGCAGTGAAAATGAACATTAACTCTTGAGGTTTCTGCCCAGCCAGGTTCCGTCCCACTGTTGGTTTCATTGTACTGGTGAAAGCAAGTTATATAATGTGCCTTGTTGTTGAGTGAGTCGGATCATGTCTCGCCCTTACAGTGGCTGAAATAAATGATACCAAGCAATGTGAAGTCAGGGCCTTTGTGCAAGGTTGATATAAGAAATCGCATAGCAGGCAAAAGCCATACTGTGGTAGTTCTCCAAAAGATTAAATGTAGAGTCTTTACATCTGCATCTTAACTTGTGGGCATGTGTACTAGTGAGTTGAAAACAGAGTGTGAAGAAGGACTTATGAACCCAGGCTATAAAAGTTGTATACCCAGTGGACAAATCTCCACTGATAAAGAGTGAACACCATGATGTATTATCTAGCTTCCAGTAAACGGGGATCCCAGTGCTTCACAGATGAACCTTGAAGTCATGTTAAGTGAAGTTAAATTTATCATAGAACAGACAAATACTAGGTCATTTCCAGGCATCAAACTGTCACACTCAGACACAGAAGCACATACAGGCTGGGACTTCGGTAAGGCCTGAGGGAGCCTTACATATCTCTAAGGTTCTTGTGATGACCCGTGTCATACATTGAGCAAGAACCTGATATTTGGTTCTCTCATTGAAAATAGAACTTCAAAAGCCAGTTTTAATTTAAACACAAAATGAAAAAAATTAATATAGTTGTGAATATAGGAAAATAGTCTTTTAAAAGTGCTTAATATAAGACCTAAAAAGATAATGGAAAGACTCTGGTCTTCCTTGTTTCTTTCAAACAATAAGGGAACTATCTCGGTGAGCAACTTGGGGCAGCTATCTGACCGAAGGAAAGGACATCCACACTGTGGGCCTATGCTTCAGGGCCAGGGCATTAGGTGCCTCACTGGTGACAGTTACTGCTGTAGTTACTATGACTTTTCTATGTAAATGTGGGAAAGATTTAGCTTCATTTCCAGAAACTTATTTGGATTAAACCCGCTCTTCTCTTCCCAATAAAGCCAGTGTAATAGAGGCCTGAAGGTCTGAGATGGAAATAGACAGCAATAACAGGAAGAGCAGTGACCTTGTGAGCGGGGCTGGCTTCTCGTCTGTGTAGGTCCCTTGCAGTAACTCATTCAGCCCTCATACCTCTCCTGCGAGCTCAATCACTGTAATTATCCTTAGCTGACAGGTGAAGAAATTGAAGAATCAATTTAAATGCTGTGCCCAGGGTGACACAGTAAATAACAGAGCTGTGTGCGTGATAGCCATGCACATGATATGAACTCGCCGCATATTCATTCATGTAGTGGATACTTTTATGTTTTCTCAATTGTCTAGAGATCTGAAAGTTATAAGCATATTTATATCTTTTAAACACGCTTTAGGGATGAAGAGAAGCCAAAGAACCCTATGGTAGAGTTGTTCTACGGAAGATTCCTAGCCATGGGAGTGCTTGAAGGTAAAGTTACCTGTTTGCTTTTATTATAAGTCAAGATGGTTTCTTCCTTCCTTCCTTCCTTCCTTCCTTCCTTCCTTCCTTCCTTCCTTCCTTTCTTTCTTTCTTTCTTTCTTTCTTTCTTTTTTAAAGTCAGGATGTTTTCTATTGGCACTTTTCTCTTTGACTGTGTTTGCTGATACTCTTTATCTATAACTGGATCTACTCTTCTAGTAGCTGCTGTTTGATTAATGTCCCTGCAAAGCATCCTCAGCATTTGGAGAACTTCCATCCCAGTGACTTAACTTTTGCTCCTCCCAGGCCTTTTCTGTTTACACTCCCCTTACCTCCTGGTGCCCATCAAGATTGATCCTTCCTTCCTTCCTTCCTTCCTTCCTTCCTTCCTTCCTTCCTTCCTCCCTCCCTCCCTCCCTCCCTCCT